ACTGTCTGCAGTTTAATGGGGACAATAAAAATGTACCTTGAATTTTGTTCTGGTCCTCCTTAAGCTCCTTAGCTTCAATCAGAACTTGATTCTTGTCCAGGGACGACTCAAGAGTCTTCAACAGCTGGGTCTCTTTTTCGCTTTCCAGCTTCAAGTAATTTGGATCTGCCTCCATTGAAAAGTTGATAACTCTTCTGTTATCTAGAAGATATTGGCGAATGAGCGATCGAAAATAGGCTCCATCGCTAATTCTTAATGAAGATCGCAGTTGGTCCATGCGATCGTGGATCTTCATCAATTCAATTGGAGACGAGTTAATGGTAATCCAGGCCTGTATGATTCTTTGCGCCAAGCCAAGACCAAAGTTTGCCGAAGTATGACTCAATGATAGCTCCATCATATGAAGGAGAGCATCGACTCTTTTTGAAGAAAATCCATCTCGCTCCACAGCCTCAAGTGTGGAAGTGATGGCCAAATTGATAGCTTCAAGCTCCTCGTTGCTTTTGACGTTAACGCCGGACAATCCAATACCTAGTCTGTAAGCAGTCATATGAGATTACCAAAAGTTGCTAATCTGGATGAGTAGGAATTATAGCCAGACGGACAATATTCTCCCGTTCTTGACAGACCGCCATCAATAAGTGCCTTGTACATCGGCGATGAAGGCCCATCCAAAAGCAATGACGACAGAGAAGATAGATCAAATGCTAGTTGAAGAGACTCTTTTGTACACAGAGAGGGATCAGAAAGGTCGTTAGTAAGCCAGGATTTGATATAACGTCCCTGGTAATCTGGCTCAAGGCCTAATGGGTCACAAGGACCGGAGGCACAAATGTTTTTAGGAAATTCGTCCAAATTGTCCGGCAATCCAGTGATCCCTTCTTTGCCAATATTCGCCAGCACTGGCCTACATACAGAGCTTGCTGAAAATTGCTCGCTAATAAATAAAAGGTGATCCTCCAAAGGATGGGTTCCATAGGCAAGGAAATAGGCATTGCTTGGATGGTAGCAGTTTTGATAAAAGGCAACCAGATTCTCATAAGTAAGATGCGGAATCAATGCTGGATCTCCTCCGGATTCTTTGTTTTCAGGCAAAAGCGATCGGAACAGTTTGCTTGAAAACACATCATCGGCATCGGAGAACGCACCCTTCATTTCATTGTAAACAACGCCCTTGAATTTCAAGGATCCGTGTTCGTCAATTTCAGTCCGCCAGCCCTCTTGTAAAAAGTCAAGCTTCCTCAAAAGCGGGTTAAATAGTGCATCAAAGTAAACGGAACGGAGGTTTTTGATGTCTGCGACGTTTCCGGCTGGAATTGAAAATGGGTACATGGTAAACGTCGAACTAGTCCAGGCGTTCATGTACGAGGAAAGAGATCTGTTCAGCATTTTGTAAAACGGATCTCTAACAGGATATTTTTTTGATCCGCAAAGAACGGTGTGCTCTAAAATATGAGGAGCTCCCGTATTGTCCTGAGGGGCCGTGGGAAATGCAACACTAAACACATTTGAAGCGTCTGCTCTGTATATGTTGCAAAATTTGCTCCCAGTTTGCAAATGTTGAAGGCTTGTAACGGTGGCTCCAAACTGGGGGATTCTCTCCGACTAGAATGATTACATATGGTTCGGAAAATACCTCGATAACCTTCCAGCCATGAATGAGAGATCCAACTTGATGTACCATACTGTATGCATTTCTTTTGACTCGACACACATTATATCGCAGGGCCGCATTGTTTAACAGCCTTAACATTGGCAACAAAAACAAATTGGAAGCGTTGAATTTTTATCGATTTAATTGAAATTTACTGTGCGTTGGACAATTCAAAATCGACCATTTTTTCCAAATTGTTCATTCTCGAAGAGACCGACATGTCTATATTTTTATCGCCAAAATTGATAATAAAGCCGCCAAGAATAGCCGGGTCGACCTACACAATCAACATCTGTTTTCATACCTTATTAAAAAAATGTGCACTAGTTCCACGCGAAATAAACTTGGCAACAAGTTTAGATTTGAGCGAATTGAAGTATTCCGCTTGCAATGGCTATAAGATTACAACATTGAAATGTGATTACAATTGCACTGATAATGGTTACATCGATTTCATTTTTGTGAGACTTCAGCAATGTACTCCATTCCAGCATAATTTTGGGGAACATTTGCAAACGGCCATTTTCAATCAGCAAATACAAAAAGTTTCCAAAGATAGGAATAAATGGGGGAGACAGGGTCTTACCAATCATATCAACGATCTTTCGTTTATCCTTGATCGAGAGGGTTGGATCGCATAGTTTTTGTCCGATAGGTGATAACGTTGTGCAAGTTTCGTTTGAATTTTTCGTAAACAGAGAGTGCAGCGAAAGTAGGGCCTTGGAAACAGGCTCAAGGCTTTTTGTCTTCATACACGACGAAAATAAAGCCGAGGCATATTTTCCTTCCAAAGAATGGAGCTTGAGTGGCAGCCTTAATACTGAGCAAGAGGAGGAAGAACAAGAAGAGGAGGAGGAGGAGAAGTAAAGCCTTCGTGTTGGACCAATCATGAAATTTAAATTCTCCAAAATTGCAAGCTTCAAAACAATTGCCATTGCAACCAACGCGGCGGCACACACATCACCATTTATGTTTTATTTTCTAAATAACCTGCAAAAGACTAAAGGTTTTTTTTGCCCAGCACAAACTGCGACGTTGCATACAGCGCATAGGCAGATATGGCGAATGTGTTGATGAAAAAAAACAGTGTGGATCCCTTACGGAACGGCGTCGACAGGGACAGGGGTGCACCGGAATACATGTGCTGCTGGTTATGATGTTTGTGATAATTCGAGCTAAATATTCTGTTCAGCAGGCTATTGAATTTCGAAGTTTCGGGATAAGCTGGTTCAGCCATGATGCACCCAACAATTTGAAATGTTAAATTTGAAATTTAAGCCGAATTGCCATTTTGAAAGTTCCAACGTTGAGGGACATGTAAATTTGATTTATTGTTATTTTCATTGCTTAAAAAGCGGATCATTAATAATTATCAGCCAGAGCTTGACCTAGCGGCCTTTTCAATTTAAAAAGCCGGCACAATGAGCTGTTCAAAGAAAACCGTCGATTATATTATTATCTTTTTGCTTTTCTCTTTACTTTCCTTCGTTGCCTTTCTAGCCATATCGCCGAGCAGGATTCTTCAATCTTCCGCATCTGAAAAAGTTATGGAAGCTAGCAATCCTTTGATTAGGCTATTATATCCCATTAAAAACGAGCCGGTTTTGAGCAAAATCCAATTTCAATACATAGACAAGCATGATCCCGTCTATTCCAAGATTTTTCACAACAAAGTTGCCAAATTGAGCCCGTTGGCACGCGAAATTGTCTGCACACCCCATTTTCAGCGCTTGTTTAAGACATGCCAACTTGGGAATAATATGATCGCCTTTGAGCATGCATTTGGAAGCCGCGCATCACATTGCAAGGGCGTAGCCAAGCTTTCAACGACATTTGCTGTGCTTTTGGCAGAAAACTCAAACATCATCCTGCATCCCGCCGAGATTCTTGCCGTTCAAATTGCCGGGCTTCTTCACGATGTCGGCCATGGCCCTTATAGCCATGTGTTCGAGTCGATTGCAAACAGGACGATGAGCCCAAATTCCTGGGATCATGAAACCAATTCCAAAGGCATAGTAAAATACTTGTTCAACAAAAACGACGCCTGGATGGCCAAATATTCCCTTCCTGCCGATTTTGTCGAAGCGGTGTGTGACATGATTGTCGGAATTGAGAGGATCCAATTCCAATCCAAATACAATTCTTCGGCGGTTTTTAAAAGATTCTTTGTTTTCACCATCGTCAACGCCATACATGAGCACCAACTGGATGCCGATAAAATGGACTACCTAATGAGAGATTCCTACTTGACCACGAAATTGGAATTTTGCGAGGCCTTAAGCTCCCACGTTGAAAATGCGATCCTAAATGCCAAAGTCATCAACGATGCTATTACGTTTTCTGCTAGCACGTCGTATGACTTGTATCACATTGCCAAATCTTACTATCTTCTTTATCGATATATTTATTATAGTCCAAGGGGATGTGGCGCAGATCTTCTGCTTAAAGATGCTTTTGAACAGATTGGGCCTGCTCTCGATGTAAAAGACAAGCTTGTCTGTTTAGAAAAGTTTGCCAAACTTACCGATTCTTTCATCGAAGATTTTGCTTCTTATGCAATCATGCACAGGTATTCTTATCCATTGGCGGCAGAGCTGTTTGAGAGGTTTCTTAATGGCCAAATGTACGATCTTGGGGGCTATCGAGATTTCTTCTACCACCAGTCTAAAGATGACAAAGGCAATCTCACTGAAATCGCAACTGGAAAGTTGCTCGCCGCTACGCCAAGCTCCATTACCAGCAAGGATTTTATTTTCAAGGTCTTTAATCTAAGCTTCCTTTTCAACAAAGTAAAAGGCACCGAGGCAGCGAATCCTTTACAGCGGATTCCTTTTTATGGAGTTTCTTTTCTTCAGAATATTTTCGAGCCTCCTCTAACGTATGCAAATGGAGAGTTTCTGTTTTCCCATTTGCCGGAGTTGGACCTTTGCGGGTATGACTCTGCCATGCATGCTGTCCATTTTGGATCTCTGCAACTGCGGCTTTATATTCGGACTCTTGATCCAATCAAAAGCGAAATAATCAAAAACGCATTTGCAACCCTCTCGTTTGAGCAGCCATTTTGAGGCAAACCCTCGATCACCAAATAAACAAAGCTATCAGTAGCCTACTGGTGCATATTGGAGTTAACGGCTATCAACGCTTTATTACATGCTACTAAAGCTATTGGTGTTAAGTTGAGCTACTTTTTGCCCAAGCCGGCAATTCATACCCAATCGGCGGTTTATATACAGCACGTGGAATGGCGCAAGTTGAATTTATGTCTTCAAACGTCTCTTCTATATCATCTGGATTTTTGATGTCCAGCTTTTTGCCGTAATTGTACCTTGAATAGTCGCGATGCTTGGCATCATGCTCAGCCTCTTGAGGGGTTCGCCAAAACAGGCTGCTGGTTTCATTAATTGTCGACAAAAGCTGCAAAAGAAGCAAAGCGGAAAGTAATTCGCTGGAAATTACCGAGAGCGACAGGAAGTCTGCCAAAATTGGATACTGCACCAATGACAGCTGCTTGAATGATAAATTCAACGAAAAAATGGCAGTATGGGACACCAGATTCCAAAATACCAAAGTCCTTAACATCCTTAAACATGTCAGCAAGGGAGGTGTCTCTTCACCAATGGACGCCGACGGTGGAGGCGATGGTGAGCTATTTTTATCTTGTTTG